AAATAAAGTTAAATATCAAACGTAATAATTATCTTTCCTTTAATATTGAAAACCAATTTTTTTTTATCAACTGAAAAATGAACGATGGAGATTAAATCTCTAAACCCGATTAACATATCCGTTTAGTTAGTTAGATCCGCGTGTTAACCCAGTTAGAAATGATAATTATTTCATTTTGAAACTATAGTGTAAATTCATTGTGTACTTCAGCTTTAATAGTATAGATAAGATTTAATCATGATAATTAGTATTTTATATAATCAATTACAAATAAAACAATAATTATTATGTATTAAAAGTGAATGCTAACTATTTTTCATATAGTAAAATATTATAAATAAAATCTAACAAAAACTAATGTGTCTATATATACATATATTTGAAAATTTTACCTAATTATTAATTTATAATATTGATGGGACCATATATTTACAAAGGATTTTCAAAAAATTTATTATTTTATCGAAATGTGTCTAAAATTACACTGGTCCCAAGTTGGGACCGGGAAAATTTATTAATTTATAGAGATTATTAATTTATCGAGTATTAATTTATAGAGGTTTTACTGTAGATCCAAAAATGATGTTTGGTCTGAAAAAAAACATATACTCTCCTTCGGTTTCTTTTTTTATTCGACTTTTTAGCCAAAAAAAATTATTTTATTTTAAGTACTATTTTCAAATTTTTATGCCAAAAATAAAGAGATGTTTATAATAATTTTTTGACCAATCATATATTACACTATTTTTTTATTAGTTGGTTTTATTTTAATTATTTGTTTTATTTTAAGTGCTATTTTCAATTTTTTATGCAAAAAATAAAGAGATGTTAATAATATTTTTGACCAATTATATATTACACTATATTTTTTTGAGAATTTTTGAAAAATACCCCTTTAGGTGTACCCCTTTTTAAAAATACCCCATTTATCTATCCATTTTCAAAAATACCCCTTTTTAAATATAAAAAATTATAAAGTTTTATATAGTTTATAAGGTACTTTTATATAATAACTACTACTGGGAGATTCGATACAAATATTTTAAAATGATTTAAATAGTTTTAAATCGTTTTTATAAGTTTTATAAGGTTTTTAAAAGGTTTTTAAAAGGATTTATACGGTTTTTATAAGGTTTTTATAAGCTTTTTATAATTTATTTTTACGCTATTTATGAAAGGTATATAAAGTTTTATACACATATAAAGGTAATTTTCGTATATATTTATAAGCTTACACACATATTTGGATAAATTTCAACATTTTTAGTGGGTTTTTTGATAAAGTTTGAAAATGGGGTATTTTTAGAAAGAGGTATATGAAAAGGGATATTTTTGAAATCCCCCCTATTTTTTTATTAGTTGATTTTATTTTAATTAATGATATTTTCTGGGAATTTGAGATATTATGTGTTTTATTAATTTGTGTGTAATAACCTTAAACATCAAATACAAAGAAATGGAGAAAGTGTTCATTAATCTCCAAAAAAAAAATTTCTTTTAAATACAACAAAAACTACTTCATAATATTGGGATTAGTATTGAAAAAAATGCAACTTTTAGTTCACTAGTAATTAATTTTTCCCTTTTCCCAATTTTTCTTTCAAATATGCTATTTTTTAATTCAAAGAATAACTATTCGAGAATTTTTTTTAATAAAATATAACAAGGGATATTGCACTAAATAACCAGCAAAAAAAAACTATAATTCACTCTCTAACCACTCTAACCATCAAACTATCTTTTTTTTTTTGTCATCGTTACAAATTATACGTCTCTCTTTGAGAGGGACCGGACTCGAACCTGGATCTGGTGAGAAGGCAACAGAGGTGAGAACCACTAACCATCAAACTATCATATTCTCTATATTATATGTATTAATGACAATTTTTGCCCTTTTTCTTCTTTTTCTTTTTAATTATGTTTTTCACTACTTTTACACATTTGTTTTACATTTGATTATTGAAATTATTTTACTGCTTTTACACATTTGTTTTGGGTTAAAAAAATGC